CCTCCTCTTTCTCCTTTTTGCCCTTTTTATTCGGCGGGTCCACGGGGACGTTGTACACCACCTCCGTTCTGCCCAATTTGTCGTTGTGGATGTAGACGACCCCAGGCTTTACGTTTTTGACCTTCTTCTTTTTGACGGTCCACTTCGCCCCATCGTGGCTCAGCAATCTGCCCGTCTCCCATTTTTCGAAAAATTCCACGGCCAGTTTCCAGACATTTTCCCCGGCCATCGCCAGAGGTAAGTAAGAACGCAGGGCAACATTTTGCTTCTTAATGGCCTCCTCTTCCTTTTGATCCGCAAGAAGCCACAAGCTGTTTTGAGGCGCCTTATGGAGCGCCGTTGTACAAAACTTACGCCAAGCCCGGACCTGATCTTGTTTCCCGCTAGGGTTCCCCATCACAGCTTTCGGGCAGCCGTCATGCTTCCACTGCCATCGAATGTCTTTCATAGAAAGTTTCAACTGTCTGGGAGGCGCCTTCAGGTCCTTCTTGTTGTCCTGTGAACTAACAAGAAAATACCCTTCGAAGTCATCGTCGGAAAAGTACACCATCCGTGCCGGCCACCGCTCGAAATTGTACTTCTTGGCCACCTCGCTGCCGAGCAGCGACCTTGCTGCAGCCGCGTTGTGCTGCCCGCACACTGCGTAGTAGTAGTATTCTCCCGCCAGCTCATCCTTCCACTCCTCCGGCTTCAGACGTTGTGCCTTGGTCCCATGAGTTGGTTTTTAAAGCCCCAGTGGTGCGAGCTTGAAGACCGGCAACTCGTACGTCTGTTCTTTATTTTCGAACGCAGACCGCATTGCTTCCCTTATCGTTTCCACAAGGACGGGATCTAGCGACCGCTGGTTGTAAAGATCCTCCCACTCCCTTATGTCAACGATCTGAGCCGGGCTGATCTCAAACTCCCGCCCTGTCCTGACGCCGTCTTTGTACTCCAGGAAGTACCCGGCGTCCACTTCGATGGCAGGCCGTGGTGAAGAAGGTCCCGACTCAGGCTGTTTATGTTTCGAAGTTGGACGTTGGCTACCCGGGTGGCCCTCTTCCACCCCCTTCCCTTTCCGTTTCTCTCCCGCAGTCCTCGGGGTCTTGGTCTTCTGTTTCTTCGAAGAGCCCACCAACTCTTTTTGACATTCTCCCCTCCTTTTTTGGGGAGTGCCCTGCGCTCCCTCCCCGCCCACGGCCTCGCCTTCCGCGCCATTGCCCTCGGCGGGCTCCAAGTCAGATCCACACAGGACTCCCTCTTCTCCGGGATCCGCTGCGGTCTGTTGTCGGGCCCCAGGTATGGACAACACGGACCTGTCTCTTTCCCTCGACGGCAAAAATGGTGGACGCGGTGTCGCCTCATCTTCGCTGTCGTCAAACTGACCTCTGGCATCCTCCCGCTGCACATGTGTAGCCTCCCCGGAACCCAGATCACCCCCCTCCCCCGCTGCCCCGCTCGACTCACAACCGCCGCACGACTGCAAAGGCATTGACAGTTCCAGGTCGGGACCGACTTCGCGAGGGACGTCGAGGGCGATGCCCTTGTCCTCCAACAGGTCGAAGAACTCTCGACCCAAAACAAACCCGCCCTGCCGCTGGAGGTCGTTGTAGAACGGGGTGTTTGCAGCACCTGCTCCGAACCCCTCGAACAGACACATGTCGAGAACTGCCCCCTTGGCATCGGCGACGACGTTCCCCTTCGAACCGTACACATGTTTCATGTAAAACCGTCGACGACTGCCTTTCGCATTCTCCCACCGCAAGACAGACCCCAGAAGCCTGCGGCGCTTGTTGGCTTCGACGAAGATCACAGGACCACACGGCTGTTGGACTGGGTTCGTAGCATCAGCACAACACCAGTTGACGAACCATTTCGACCTAGCATGGTCGGACCACGTCCTCGAGGTCGTGGACGACCGTTTTGTAGAATCTTTCCCAGATCCCATCCCGGAGGTCGCTGCAGGCTCCCCTTCGCCCCTGGACGAAGACATATTGTCTGCGGACGACAACGAAAAACAAATAAAACACCAGCGAGCGTCAAATCACAGTCAAAGCACAACGCAGGCGAAAAACAGAGGAGGCACACCTTGCCCTCAACACGTCGGTCACATGACGCTATCCGAGGACCTCGAAGTTCGGATCCCGGCGAACTTCTAACGCGAAGACCAGCAATGACCTCTTACCTGCAACGAGATCATTCTTTACAAGGGCACACGCTTCATGCAGCCGGGCGACAACCACGTCGGTTTTTTCCGGAACACGAGTGTCCACCCGATCGGGAATGGACGGGTGGTGACGCACAAAGCCCGCATTGGACGGGGCAGTGTCGTCCGTTTAGCAATAGGAACCCGGACAGTTCAGGACGCGAAGTTCGCCGAGATCCGTACTAAAAGTGCCTGTCCGAAGCCGAACCAACGCACTCACCGAAACGTGAAGTTCGCCGGGATCCGAACTTCAGGAAAATGCGACAGGCAGAGACGGCGTCAGGCAAACACAGATTGGACTGAACGACGACCCGGAAAGGCCGCACTAACACAAAAGGCCGCTTGAGA